GGGTTACTTTGTCCTGTCTCTGCCCATCTTCCTCCGCAGCTGAGATACGAGAGTGGCAGGGAAGGGGCCTGATCAGTGAAGGGACATAGACGTCCTGAACAAAGCTTTGGATCTCCCCCGCCTCCCTCGGGTGAGACTAGAGGCAAGGAACCAAAGAAGTGAACTCTCTTCTCTTGTCCATGCCCGTTGTCAGTTTCTCACCCTCTCTTTTAAAATGGGCTATTTGTTGTTTATTTGTTTCTTGGGAATAACTACTCACTGCCTTGGTTTAACGAACTGTTTGTTCATGTGACCATACTTAGTGGTTTTAGCGGGGAAAATCCAAGTCCTACGCCTTTGTTGACAACAGACATGTCCCTTATGTTTGTGCAGGGTAATCTTTACGTTTATATAACTTGGATAACAGATTGAAAGTGAGGTTTCTCAATGAGGCTCCCAAAATGTATTCTAGGGGAGTCAGTTGTTCTAGTATTTTGAATTGTGATTAAGGCAGGGAGGGAGAGAACATTGTGTTCTTATCTAGTTGGAGGAAACCTATTTAAGTTTTTGTTGTTATGAGTTGGGTATTAATTAAGCCTTAGCTACCCCCAAAATGTATTCTAGGGGAGTCAGTTGTTCTAGTATTTTGAATTGTGATTAAGGCAGGGAGGGAGAGAACATTGTGTTCTTATCTACTTGGAGGAAACCTATTTAAGTTTTTGTTGTTATGAGTTGGGTATTAATTAAGCCTTAGCTACTTGAAACGTGAGGAGGATACATCTTTAACTCTTAGTACTGTGAGCAAATCTTTGATTATTGCTACTAAACCTACTGGGTGTGAAGATTGAGAGTGTAAATTCACATGCTTGTTGAAAAGTTTAATCTGAGACCCACGGTTTTGTTCTCACTGATGGAGGAGGATGTAGTGGGTATAAGTTAGCCTGTTCAGTTTTATTTTGGGTAAATATTTTCATAGCCAACTAACTTTTCTTTTTTTAAAATCTGCCCGGCAAAGAACTAAGATTCCAGATGGCAAATTCTATGAATGGCAGAAACCCTGGTGGTAGAGGAGGAAACCCCAGAAAAGGTCGAATTTTGGGTATTATTGATGCTATTCAAGATGCAGTTGGACCCCCTAAGCAAGCTGCAGCAGATCGGAGGACTGTGGAGAAAACTTGGAAACTCATGGACAAAGTGGTAAGTCGGGTCTGACTGTGCCTGTGCATAGCCCTATTTACCTTGGATATTGTTTCTCCACATGTATTTATACTGTTAATTAATAATAATTATTGTTACAGCAGCAGTCTTTTGCTTCGTGTTGATCATTTTTCTTACTTCCATCCTGTATGTTTTGAAAAGTTGGATTCAGAGCAAAGACTTGTTTTACCTTTTGGCCTTCCTACGCTTCAAGGTTCAGAGTTCCTCTCTATGACTTAGATATGCAAAATTATTACCATTGGCCGCTTTTTGTTGGTGTTATGGCCATAGTATAGTTTGGAAGTATTTGTTTTGTCTTATGTGAGGTTGTGTTGCTCTTAGATAACAAAAGAGTATAAATAAGTAATTTAACAAAATTCTCTGATGAATGGCTCATGACAATCACATGTGTGATGCTGAAAATATTTACTGGGGAAAGAATCAGATTAGTCCTTAAGCGAAGAAGCAGTACTTGAGAGAGTTTCCATTTTCATCTTTGAGAATTCATCTTTATTAAGAAACTCTTAATGGGAGAAGTACGATTTCTTTCATCTACTATTCCATTTTGAAACAGGAAACCTTTTTGATTGCACATTGTTTACTGTGAAAGGAAAATTTATGTTGGGGGTGGTGGGGCTGAGAGTATCAGAAACCTCTGTGGTTTCTGCATGTTGCTTTCAGATGATCTATAACTTGACAAGAAGAAATCAAGCTGGAAGTCAGTGTCCGGAGAAGATCAGTTGAAAAGGCAACCTAAATACCTTACAGGGATCTACTCAGAAAATTGTAGCTGTCAGTATCCTATCTTACTAAGTAGGATTATGAAATAAATATGATTAAGATGTAGCTTGCTGCTTTGCAAAAATTAATAGTTCTTGCTTTTAAAGCAATAGCACTGTCCTGTGTATATTGTTAAATATTTATAGTACCTTATGGCTTTATTTCATAGATATTTGGGGCTAATTTTAAATTTAGTCGAAGCATGACTCTTTATATGATAGCTTTATAACTGCAGAGGTTTAAAAAGTATCCTTTGTAGGAATATGCCAAAGTCTCCATGAAATAACATGGTAGCATTCACCTTTGCTTTGGTTTTTATTATGTGCAAATATCGGCTTAAAAAAGCCTCAGTCAGTAGTAGTAGCCATACAGAAAGGTGACAAGAATTTAGTTTATTTTCATTTATCCTTATGCAAAGTATACATAGATAGATGAATAATGGGCAGTCATTCTATGGCCGGTTGGCTTAAAAAAGCCTCAGTCAGTAGTAGTAGCCATACAGAAAGGTGACAAGAATTTAGTTTATTTTTATTTATCCTTATGCAAAGTATACATAGATAGATGAATAATGGGCAGTCATTCTATGGCCGGTGGTGCTATGTGAAGAGCTAGAATATTTTTGCCAGATAAATATCTTTAGTTTTGGGCTTTAGTGTGACCTATTTAAGCTTCCGCCAATTTATTCAAATTGTTATATTAAAATGCTCCAGACAGAATGATGTCATAGTGTCAGAACATTGCAACTTGCTGCTTGGGATCAGGTTTTGATTTTAGTACTGGATACTTAAGAATGAGGAGGATGCAACTGGAAGAATTACATATATTTGGTATGCACAAAACTAGTTCTCTTTGCTTTTCTATAGAGCATGCATTTGAAGGTCACTGTCATCGCCTAAATCATTAGTGGGGGTAGGAGAAGGAATTCAAGGTTTTTCTCTAACTTCTCTGTTATATAGGTAGGCAAGAAATGGATCAAATTCTACAAGAAAGCTTCTTTCTCCCCACCCCCTTTCTCTGAGTGGTCAAAGTTTTCTTTGAGTAAGTGTTAGAAAATCAAATCGAAAAGGCATATATAAGGAAGTGGTAAGTTATAGTTACTATGAAGTCATTATTTTTAAAACATTAAAAAACGGTGTGCATAATTTTGGTCTGTAACTGGTCATTAACATAAGTTTTATCCACTTTTAATTATTTTACCATGAGTTATGGTAAAATAGATGGTTACTTGATAGTTAAGAATCTGCCTTTATTTATTTTATTAACCCTTTTGTGGGTTTGGGTTTAGCCTCTCCAGTTGAAAAACTTGACTCACAAGGAAATCTATTATCCATAGTCTCTACTTAGTGGGATGTGGGTATGGATGTTGGCAAAGGTTCATTGCTGTGGCTTTCCCTGTTTGTCTTCATTATTTGTCAAAGATGGAAATGGTTGTGTTGATTTGTGAATGTATCCATGGGCTTTGTGGAGAGAAATCACATAAATCATCATAAAAGAGCTCAGTATGTTTACTTCTACTCTATCACACAATATTAGAAAGGCATTGATAATTACTAATTGGCAACATGTTTTATTTAAATGAAGAAGCACTCCCCACATGCATGTATCTTTTATTTGTCAGTGTTGAAGGAAGTGACTAATAATACCAACATTGTGATGATGATCAGGAACTTTATTATTATTTCCAAAGTTAATCCCTTGACACATTACCTAACTGTTTTTTAAAATAACTGCAATACCATGAGTTTAGCTTGTGAATAACAGAAAATAGCAACTTTCAAGTCTAATTGGTAGTTATGTAAAAGGCAGAGTTAAATGTATAGTTAGCATTTATGAAGCCTTTTCACAAGGGCAGATCTTAGAAGTACATATATGAAAACAAGCTTCAAGTTCAGTGTGTCTCAGCTGCCTAAAAAATAAAAAAAACTTAATATACAGGGGATAATGAAGCAGTGTTAGACCATAGGGGAAATATCTAGTAAGTCTGTATTTCCTTAGAATTCTAAATGGTCAGCTGAAATTTCAGTTCCAACTAGTTGTTCTGTTTTCAAGGGGCAAGCTTTCTCTCCAAGGTAACTGAGAGTAGGAAAGTATAATTGCTCAGTTGTATTCCTTGTAAGATGTAGAGTGTTTTGTAACAGAACATGAGGTTGCACAGAGTTAGCACAGTACATGTTTTGAAATAAAGAATAGTAGCATCTCCAAAAACATCCCATTTAGACAGGTTTTCTGGTCTTAGCTCTATGCGTCACTATAAGTCAAAGTTGACATAAATGCCCTTAAGTCAGTGGATGCCTGTTTGATACAGTGACAGAACTATTACTTATGAATACATATCTAGGTTCACATACACCCAAAATGAAATGTGGAGTTTGTTCCAAAGCTATTACAGAGACAGAGTTTCTTAAACACTTAATAAACATTTATTGAGGGCCTACCATGTTCCCACTTAGAGCCTATTACTGGGAATGCAAAGTTAGGCAAGACATAACCTTGCCCTTGACCTGTCAAGGAACTGGGAGCACAGCATCAGAGCCAGGCATATGAATGGAGAATTGCCATGTAGTATGGAATGGGCTGTGGTACAGACTCTCACAAGGTAAGGTGGGAGCAGAGTAGAAACATCCACCTTGTTTTCTGGCCACTGTTCAGACAGTTTTCTGTTTGGATTCTGCTGGCCATTGCCTTTTAGAAATGGCATTGTGCTGTTGGTAGAAGTGCTGAGGTGAGAGTAAGGAAATGATTGCTAATCAGTATGGTCAGAATGATGATTTATTAATGTGAGGTTCCTGAGTGTGGTTTTCACAAGAGTCTTAGCCAGGTGATAGAAAATAGAAGAAACACTTTTCCATCTAATAGATGCTAAATCTACTGAGCATACATGGATACTCAGGAAATTAGAAAATAATTAATTAATGCTAAAGAGCAAAGCAAGTTGAGTACCTGCTTACGTTTTTGTCTTGCTGTCCTTGTCATGTATTTGAAATTACATTACTGAGTTTTAAAAGCATTTAAAAAGTGATGATGCCAAATAGCTTTTTCCTGCCTTTTACCCTCACTGCATTTCATACATTTGTCAAGCTTGAAATATAATTCATTCTCTGTCTTTATGTTTTCACTGCGAACATAATGTATTTTAAAGTTTGTCAACTAAAGATGCTTGGATTATATACAGACATTTTAAAAAATAAGAGTAAATATTGTTTTCTACTTTGGACTCTTCATACTTCTGAAAAATATTATGTATGGAGTGAAACTTAGATTTTGGATGACCACTGTTTGTTTTATTGGTTTTGAAAATCTCAGCTTCTTAAGAGCCTTAAAACAGGGAATATCATTTATTTGATATCATTTATTTGTTCCACCTCAGTAGAATCATGGGGCCCTAGTAGACTTGAATAGGAGATAATAACACATTAAGTGTCTGTACAATGTTTTTAGTACTGAGTTAGATTTTGAATTTGTGCTGAAATAAATGAAGTCATCTCAAAGTTTGCTACTTGTAACTTAATTTGCTACTTGTGAAAATTTTTTGAGATAGTAAAAGATTTAAAGGAATCCTACCAAGAGATACCTTGGTTTTACCCCTGTGATAAAAGGCATACGTATAACAGAAGTCTTAATCAGTTAGTAATTTATTAACTCTTACAAAATTTTTACTATTTAGGTTTTGAATAAATTTCTTCCTTTCTTTCAAAAGTTGCTTTATAGGGTCTCTGTTGACTTCATCATTCATCTCATTCATTTGTCAAATCCCAGCTATGGGAAGACAGACATTTATGAATAACCATGCCACACAATAGAATGTAAGAAGTGCTGTAGTATGGCATAAATAAAGTGCTGTGACATAGTATGTGTTGGAGCTGGAGGAGGAATTTTCTAGCTGGATGGTATTATCTTAGAGGATGGTTTGGATTCCAGTGAGTTGGAGCACACATTAGGCTAAAGGAATGATGGGAGATTGTTGAGTGACAGAAGGTAAGTTGGAGGAAGATGATAGAGGTTTTAACTACACTGTCAAGGAATTTGGACTTTATTTAGTTGCAGATAACCATTGAAGGCTTTTGAGCAGGGAGCGGAAGAATCAAGGCTATGCCTTGATAGATTATTCTCTTGACTCTGTGAAGAATGGATTAAGAGAAAAGAAACTAAAAGCAGGAGTAATGATCAAGAGAAATTAAAATAGTCTGGGCAGGAATAGCGAAGGCCTGGCCTAGAGAACT